GCGCGTGACCTGGCGCCATATCTCAGGCTAATCCAATGAGCTGACAGAAGCACAGTCCTCGCCCATGTACCCATGTAGCTGAGGTATGGCGCCAGGCAGGTAACGCGTGATGTATTACAGTATTACTCTGTGCGGTTGCTATCCACCAACTAGCTTAAATACTTACAACAAACAAACGGTAGGTGTTTAAATGAAGCTGTTTCTTACGCGAGTGCAAATCGATTTGTCAAGTTTTATCTGCTGGGGTTATGAAAGTGTTTGGCTGAGTAGATCACATCTCAATTTGACCTTTCCAGGCTCTGAAGAAGGCGAAACCTCCGAAACGTCAGCTATTGTATTCTAATAAATTCTATAATAACAGCCTCGTGTCTGCTTATTGAAGAAAAACGCCGATAGCTTTGTCCTTTTATTCTTTGTATGTACATAGGTAAATGCATATGTATGGGAATATGTATATGATATGTACATATATATATATATATATATATATATATATATATATGTGTACATGTGTATGTATGTATATATAGGCGAATACATATGTACATATATGTGCATCTTTATGTTTGTACATATATATATATATGCATATATGTATATATATATGTATATATATATGTATATACATATACATATACATATATGTATATGTATATATGTATATGTATACACGTATGTGCAGCCAATTAGAAATGAAATAAAACGAACAGCTGCCTTTTTGATTCATACATGCACTCATAGTTCGCATGTACTTTAGTTAATACAATGCATTTTTGTTAGCTTTCCGCCCACGTCTAGGTCAAGAAAAACGTTATAAAAGAGATAATTTTAGAACTCAAAATGTCGTTTTGGGTTATTATTAGTCCAGAAAAAATAATTAGAATTTGATGAATTCCATTCGTCAGGTTGCTAGGTAACAGTGTGATTAGACGGCTTGCTCACTATCATTAATATGAAATTGTACGGCTAAAAATTTGTCTTGCTCGACTCAAAGAAAAACCTTCCACCTTATTTATTCGGAACCAGTGGGCAAGAATAAAACAAAACTACAATAACGAAATAATGTAGAGGTATATCGCCTATGTATTACTCTGTGTGGTTGCTATCCATCAACTAACCTAAACGTAGGGGTATGTTTGTTGTAGTTTACGAAATTCAGTTATCAATTAATTTAGTTGAGTTCTCGTCTTGTCGACTTGTTTAAAGAAGTCTGTTCAAAAAACTGTTGCTTATCACTTCAAGGTTGATTGCATGTGTAATGAGATTCAACCGCAGTGATGCTGAGATATCTGCAAAACTCCGGACCGCAAGTGTCTGCGGTTGGGAACGAACGCGCTATTACCCTTTTCAGGGGCAAACGTCTTCACCACCACACCATGCGGGTCCTTTGTTTCACCTGTCTCTCAGTTAGTTCTATCGATCAGTGCCATCAGCAATCACCTGTCAACGGGTTTGATTTGGGGAGTCCAAATCGGCAGTAAACTCAGTTAAGCTGAGAATGTAGTCGAAATCACAATGTTAACTTTTTATTTACTGCCAATTATAATTTTTCACGGTGGGTTATTATGTGTGACTCAACCACAATGATGCTGAGATATGTGTAATGAGATTTTATTTTATTATAGATTTCTTATGAGGCCATTGCTTTCATCGATGTGAGTTCAGTGCAAAAGGTTAACTTTCACATAACCTCGATTTTACTGTAAAGTTATTTGTACCTCTGAACTCTGCACAGTAAACGGACAAGTGGTTATTAGCGTTTAGAGGGTTGATGACTTCACTTTCTTCAGAGCCATTTGGATTTTCTTAGCAATGAGACCAGTATGCTGCTGTTCATATAGAGTGATAAAGTACAAGTTTTATCGGAGGTAGGAAAAAGTTTCGATGAAAATCAACACTTCATCTACACAACCCTATGTCAGTTATTCAGAACACAAAATGATTTAATTTTACTTCTTTATGGTCTTTTATCTGCTGTTAAAATTATCAATAGATTACTGGGAGGCTGAAAGACAGGCGAAACGAAGGACGCGCATGGTGTGATGGTGAACGCGTTAGCCTCTCGGAAAGGGTAAAAGTACGTTCGTTCCCCACCGCATACACCTGCGGTCCGGAGTTTTGCAAATATCTCAGCATCACTGTGCTTGATCAGTAGGTTGTATCATTACGCAATATTCTAAAGATTTTAAGTATTTTCCTTTTTTTTGCGAAATAAACGAGCGATGATCATCTACATTTTTATCTAAAGAAAACCGATGGAAAAGATTTTCTGCTAGATATGGTGAACTAAGTATTCATTGCATATACTTGGTCAAGTACACATTTAGTTGTTGTGAAAACGTCAAAAACGATTTTTGTTCTCTAATCGTTTTCTATGAGTAAAATTTTCCTCATCTTGCAACCTATGAGCAAATGCCGTTGATCATCGGCTAACATTAGCCAGCGCGAGAAAATCCTTCTGCTCTTTTCTTGTTGCAAATGAGGGCCACCCAGTGACCTAGTTTATAATTCTGTGACTCAGGAAATTATGATTCTTCGTCCTTACTGCAAGTAGGAGCTTAGAGGAGGTCAGAGCCACTTGACTTTGATGTTTGTACTGCTTTTGCCGTTAAGGTACTTTCGCATAGCTTCCGAAGTTCCACCATGGGATTAGGCTTGGTCATCTTAGCTAGGATTTGAGCAATGGGAAGATATACTTTGGTTGGAAAAGTGTTTCACTTGTCGAAGTGTCTTCTTCTCACTAACACCATATCATGATTTCTTGGTTCTTTTCACAGAAGACATTCTGTTGTCCTTCGCTTCAACACATTATGGATGATATGAATTGATTAAAACTCACACGACGAACATTATTTTACCTGTAGGCTTTAACACACATTGGCGACATGACTGTTTTTTTTGATAACAAACCATCCTCTAGATTAATGGAGTAATAGAAAAGTAGAAAACTGCGGGCTCTAGAAGAGATCTTGCTCTATCTATACGTAATTTTTGCAAAATGTACGTCGTATAAAGGGCGCGTGTGCGGCAGTGGTCGGAGGCGCCCTAAAACACGCACGTGGAACCGATCCCTGCGCCTGTGGCCAACCAAGTCTTCCATCCCTCCGGGGTCTGCAGTTTGGTACCGGACTTGTCTGGGAGGATTGCAGCACCGACCCGATAAGTAGGCCACCGCGAGTCATTGTAAAGGCCAGATATGCATTCAATCACCTCCAAACGATGCTTAATGAAGTGCTATGCATGGCACATTCCTCAGAGATTGATCAACGCCGAAAGCTTCTTCAGCTTCGCCAATGAAATGAGGTGTACTGGACTCTAAGTGCCGTAATTTTGAAAAATGGTGGTGAGAACTGCGTAATAGTTTTCGTATGAGGCTGACGTTTGCTTATTCTTTGAATATTATGTTCTTAAAAAAGCCGGTGAGATGGTGAGATTCTGCAGGACTACCGTAATATTCCAAGCTTCCAACGTTCGCATCAATCCTGTAAACGAAGATATCAGTAATTATTCTATTCTGTCAACTTCGTGTTATTCTATTACTTCTTTTGTCGTACTATTGTTATACATTGATTGAATCACAACTATTGATGAATTTATGTTGATTAATTTGTTTCAATTACAGCACCCCGACGACATATGCGAAGCGCTCGAAGATCACATTTTACTGTACAAGCATGATCTACGATCGATAAATATTTTGCAATTAATCACAACGAGTCTCGACATAACTGAAGGCACACTGGTTGAAATTGTTATCAGTTGTGAGCTTCCTTCATTTTTTCTTTTTTTTTCATTTTACAGACGAAATGGACAGCGATTAACATTTTTCTGAAAGTTTACGTGTTGTGATTTTCTTAAAAAAATTCAAAATGGCAGTAAATAGATGAAGTAATAAGAAAACGAAAACCCAGGTTGTGTCTCGCAATCGTCGCCTCAGTACTGGCCTATTTGGTTCAGTACTTTGGATAGTACCGAGGCTTGCCACGCATCTAAAAGTAGTTAACACTTGTTATTTATTAAGCTAATTAAGCTAAACTGGCGAAATCAATTACTACGCTATGTGTTCCACCAAGGCAAGTCAAAATGAGAGGAAATGCGACTATGAAACTGATGACGTAGATGTTCTTCTTCTTTGATTTTGACGAATGCGGAAAAAAAAACGTCGTTACCAGGATACGCTGAAGTAGATATCCACGGAGATTGCAAATCCTCCACGAGAGCTCTCATAAATTCCGGAAGGACGACGACGGACGGACGGCGCTGGCACTCATAGCGTCGCCGCTAGCGTTGCAATCAATTCGTCGTCGTCTCCTACTAGTAAGTTTACTGGCTCGAGTTATTCGTCGATGATAGAGGACACCTCTGCTTCTTCGTTTACGTCATCCCTAATCCATTCCGGAACCCCGTACCATTGAATTCTACACAACAGCAACATTCCTGAGGAGATTATTTATTGCTGTACGAGAAGGTCTACAAACGGAAAAATGCCATTTCGTGTCACCAAATTCATTATTGGAGAGTTTATGTCAAGAGGTTATAGCTGTGAGGTCGAGAACGAGTGTAACGACTCATCAAGAGCCGTTTTAAGCAGTAAGTTTTGAAGATTGTTAAGAGTTTAGAAGTGAATTGTCACCAGAAACATAAACTACCGCAATGGATAGTTTTGTTTCAGTGATGAGGTCATTTTTCAATGTGATATGAAGCTATCATAGGAAATCAATGCATCTGACCTTAATAGGTCACTTATAAGTTCATCTACTGACATTTTTAAAGAGCACTGAAATAAAAATCTAAACCAATCAATAAAGAAACTCGAAATATGCTTCTGAATGGCATATTTTCCATATTTTAATTATATATTTTGCAAGATTTTTTCTCCTATTGCCTTATTTGCTGCCATCGTTGAAGCCTAAACGGTGTTAGTGGCCGTAGATATTTTTTCTTTCCGTGTCTTTTCTTTTATCCTTATATTCTTAGCCTAAGATCCATCTATAGCAAGGATGTTAAGGGAGTTGTTTCAACGAAACTATTTAAATTTATATTCATGTTATAGTAAAAAAGAAACGGTCCTTTCAGCTTGCCCCCAGCATGAGCGGCTAGTGGTTCATCCACATACCTTATATGTTCATTCATATAAAGCACCGACATTCTGTGATTTCTGTGGTGAATTACTGTTCGGACTCGTTAAACAAGGTCTTAAATGTCATGGTGAGGCCTTTTTCTACCGGTTAGATCTTTTTTTCCGTAACTCTAGGATGAGCTTTTGAACTATTGGTTTGAACTTAAGCATATCTTCGAGCTCTTGCAACATCTCTAGTCGGCATAATCCTTTATCGAATATATGATATCTAGAGAGATGCCCATACGGATCCTCAACTAGACAGACTGAAATGAAGCCACTTACTAAGTATCTCTTTGGTTTCATTAGTTCTTTTCTAATGTTGGTTTTTTTTTGTAATCTGAGCACATTTACTAGGACTCCTGCCCTTAATTGCTGAAAATATTATAGTTAATTAGTATTGACAATCGATATTTTCTCTCTAGACTTGGTATGAAGTGAGTTAATCGTATTTTTCTCCTTGGTTTTTCTAATTAGTAATGGGATATTCACATCACCACATTATCTATGGATATGTTATGGATTTGGTTAGTGAATAGAGATAATGGATATGAAAATATGTTATAATGAATGTACTTGCTGGATATCGAGCTGGGAAATGCAGTGCAGTGGAAGGGAGCATATTACCTTCCAAAGCAGCCAAATTGAGAAGGGGTTCAGTATTTCCACCCGAAAGCCTATTTAAGACTAAATCCATGCTACCATTAAAAAAAATACGAGCAGTCACTACAGTAATGTACATTGTTATCCACAAACTTGTGGAGTCGATCCATCAACTCGGGTAGGCGGCGTAGACGAAAGGGTACTGTAGTGGTTCGCCCTTATAACTCATATAACTCGGTACTCGACGGGATTATTTGTAACAAATATGCTTCTGTCCATTCACTATTTTGTTAATAATGTCAACTTCTCACGAAAGGAGAAGTTTCAAAATTACATTGAGAGTGGAAATCATTCCTATTCCAAAATCATTAGCAATCAATATTCATTCATTACTACAACGAATTAATTAACATAACCTGTTTGACTAGATTTAAATAGTAACTAAGGATGAGTTTGTAAGCAATACGGCAGAATTTGATGTTCTGCCACTGCACGTTATTTCCATGGATTGAATCAATTCGTATAAGACACACGGTTGTTATGACATTACTTATGCACAATAGCTGACGCTTCGGCGCTTTAGCCTCCTTCAGATCCTGAAAATCTCGAATTAACACTTAATCTACTCGACCAAAAACTTTCATAACTAAGCAGAAAAAGCCCATACATAATGTTCGTTTGGGATCTATTTTTAATTTGATTGAATTTCATTTGAAATTGGAAATTTCACTTGAAATTCATGAATTGAGTTTTTTCTGCTGGGGTTACGGAAGTGTTTGGATGAGCAGATTGCGTGTCAATTTGACTCATCCAGGCTCTGAGGAAGACCAAACCGCCAAAATGTCGGCTATTATGAATAAACATATTCCCTTCGTAACCTCGTATCTGCCCATAAAGAAAACAGTGAATTATTAATCAGTGCTGAGTTTAATAGGAAGTCGTTCTTGAGAGTTGCTGCAATTCACAGTACTTGTCGTACTTTTCTTTTGCTCCTAGATATCTTCGTTGCTGGTGAGCAAATCTTAACGTCATCCTAGTAGCAATAATTGAATTTCAACACGTCTGCTTACTTCAATATAGTGCATATTTAAGTCAACTTTAACTTGTGATTAATTTATTTCGCAAACACTAACCAACCACTCAGCGTTTAGCAAAGCATCGATCACTTACGCAGACATATAACTCCCTCCTCCCATACCTCTGATTTCGCTTCTTTTTTGGAATCATAATTTTTACTGCTCATTTCGTAGATGAAGCTTAACCTACACTTATTACAGCTAAATAAAATGTCCTAGGACCCTTAAGAAGCACAGACCTTGTGTCCAGTTATTCAACTCCACTGTTGTTCCTAAATTAGGGGACGCTTCAGAAACTAGAACGTTATCTAAGCAGAATGAAAATCGGCTTTATCAAACACGTTATCGTGATCCTAGGAGTACCTCGTTTTCACTTAAGTAAAAGAGAGCGTTCGAAGCTTCAACTTATGCTGTCAATGAAGGACCGGAGGCATCGTTGTATAAGTCAAGATTTTGGATCGCTAACAGATAATACAGAAATTAGTGATTGACCCACAGTTGATGTTAAGAGCGCACCAAGAAGTCCACTAACTTGTTGGGCTAGCCGAACTCACTGATAAACTGTCACTTGCAACAGAGGTAAACAGTTTAGTTATAGCTTTTCTAGTTAGTGCATGACCGGCTGCATTCTTGGCGATACCAGTAAAAAGTTGTATTAAATATGATTACGCCTATCTTCAGAGAAAAATTGAAACCAGTATGAACTCATCAATTTTTTCAAATACATAAAGGATAAATTACTTGTCTGACGGAAATCATAACTGCTTTCAGAAGTGTTCACATCTTCATTTGAGATTAATAACTAATCACAGACCATCTGTTAGTGTCAGGAACTGATTAGTAACGAGTGTTGTCTTCTTCACTAGTTCGTTGCCGTCATTTTAAGCCCAATGAGCCACTCATTTCTTCTTATTCAACTTTTTGTGTTAAGTCCCTTGTTAAGGAGATGTTGTTCCCTTTGAACGTTAATGATGCATCAGAAACGATTCTCTTACTCATGAATATTTTCTTGAAGTAAACCGAAGACGAACGTTTTCTTAGACTTTTCGCAGTCAATTACTCACTGTTAATTCCACCTGGCTTATGATTGATTATCGATGAGCAGTAAGTTGTTAAGACATTCACAAACACACGCATTGATTTTGACTTATTTGCTTACTCCCCATTCTTTTTTTAATCGCAAGGTATGTTGCGAAATATAACTGCTATAATGATGAGATATTTGCAAAACTCCGGACCGCAGGCGTCTGTGGAGAACGAACGCGCTATTACCCTTTCCGGGTGCTAACGCGTTCACCACCACATCATGCGGGCTCTTCGTTTCGCCTGCCTCTCAGCTAGTTCTATCGATCTCTGCCATCAGCAATCATCCGTGAGCGGGATTGATCTGGGGAGCCTAAATCAGCAATGAGCCGAGTTAAATACGCATTAATTTCAATACATTTGTTTGTTTACCGTTTGTTTCGTCAAGAGAACTTTCTCTTCGTTAACTTTGCTACCATGTAGATAGTTTTGTCTTCACGCAGTACTCGAATTGATTCAACAAAAGCTATCTTTTAGACATCATAATTTACAAAGGAAGACCAGATATTGGGAGGAATTTGTTCATATTCTAGAATGTTCCGCCAAAAAATTAGAATTAGTCGCTCTCATCTAGCAAGCATCGAATATTGGAAGTAGGGGTGAATATGTTGATAAAACTAGTGTAAGATGCTGCGGGTAGCCATATTGCTGACATGTTAACTAAATGGGAAATTCGATTGCTTTAAAATATAACTTCCGGCATGCATTGAATACAATGCATCTCGTACAAAATTATAGCCGCTTTCTTCTTCAAAGTAACATGTTCTAGTTCGTATGAATTTTCATTAGTCAGGTTAAAAGTCATTAGGATATACACGTTTCTCTTGTAAATTATGATTTGTCCTGCTTTACTAGGATAGAATTCTATTCTTCTGCACCCGTAAAAGCTCGTTTCGTTCACTTTTTTGCGTGAAGTAATATTTTGAACACAAAGGGGATTGAACAAGCGGGATTGTCTCCATCAGGAGATGATCATCTCCTGCAATGTGTCGTTTCTCTTTGCCGCTGTCACGATTGCATCGAATAGTCCAAAAATATAAACCTCGCCTTCAGTCTTTTTTTTTGGAGAATTTTATTTTTAGAGATGTTTAAATTTGGAAGGATATCATGTGAGGAACACGTGTGGTGCAGCGGTCGGAGGCGTCCTGCAACACGCAAGTGGAATCGATCTCCGTGCCCATAGCCCGCCAAGCCCTCCATCCATCCAGGGTCGGTAAATTGGTACCAGACTTGTCTGGGAGGATAGCAGCACTGGCTCGATACATCGGCAGGCCACCGTGAATCATTGTAAAGGCCAGATATGCATTCAATCACCTCCAGACGATGCTTAATGAAGTTGAATGCATGGCGCTTCCCTCAGGGATTGATCAACGTCGAGTGCTTTTATCTTTTTTATCGTGCGAAAGTCGTAAATGCGAATAAGCCGATGAAATTTTTTTCTGTAAATCTATGTAGTACCTTAGTGCGTTATTACTCTAATGAGCGAGAGGAAGTCGTCATTTGTTAGGGAACTAACTTCGGACGTCATTTATGAAGTCAATTGTGATATGATATCGTTAAGGATGCGGTCTTAATTATCATAAACGATGTGCGTCCAAGATTCCGAATAACTGTAACGGATCACGACAAAGAAGGCCTAGTGCGATTACGTTATCACCTTCCAGCTCTAATGTGTTGCTCGTTGGTGACAGACGGGTATGGTACTACATTTTTTTCTGGTTTGAAAACTACTTCTGCAATATTCGGTAGCGTTTACAAATCCCGTTCAATTTTGACTTGTTTCAATTTCCTTATCCTCCACCATATCATGCTTACGAATTTAGAGACGTATACGTTTCCGTATGGTACTCATTGTATAGCATAGTGACTAGAGATGCTTTACAATACACACCGGATCGATCGCTAGTTCGATCCCGAATCCTAAGCCCACTAGACGTCTCATCACACCGGACCCGAAAAGTTGGTACCAGACTTGTCTGGGAGGATAAAAAACACCGACTTGATACATGGGTGGGCCATCGCAGATTATTGAATAAATGGAATATGCGTTCAATCACCTCTAAGATGTTAGGAATGCAGACGTATACATGGCGCGTCTGTAAGGAGTTATCAACCCGAATGCTTTATCTTTGCTCTTTAACCATTTTTTGCCGTTACAATCCTTCACCTTTAAATCCGCTACTTTTTTTAGCAGTCACGACGAGATTCTTGCCTCGAGGCTCTGGATGCTGCTCGGCCATCTTCGACTCTTGGAAGTGTTCATCTAACTCCGGACATCTACATCACTGCAGATACGGATTACGATGACTCGGTCGGGGGCAATGTGAGCCTTCAACTTTTTTTTGCTATGAAACCCGAATTCTTTTAAAAAACCGGTAATGTTTTGGATAGCCTAGGATTTTCGTTATAATCTTCTATTGGTGTCAATTGGTTACTGAAGGTTTTCTTTCTTTTTTATTATCTTTCTTAGATGTGTCAATAAGGCAAGCTACTTTTTGTTGCAATGATCTCAGTAAATTCTTTAGTGGAATTACTTGTTTTTTTTTTCTCTGACCAATGAAGTGTATTATGACAGTGGTAAGGGCGTGTACGGCGCAGTAGTTGGAGGCGCCACTGCGACACACACATGAACTCGATCCATGCGCCCATGACACATTGATCCTTCCATCCCTCCGGGGTCGGCAAATTGGTACCAGACTTGTCTGAGAGGATAGCAGCTCTGGCTCGATACACCGGTAGGTCACCGCGAGCCATTGTAAAGGCCAGATGTGCATTCAATTGCCTCCAACTACTTAGTGAACTCGAATGCATGGCGCATCACTCAGGGATTGATCAAGGTTGGGCTTTATCCTTTTTTATCGTTGTAACAGTTGTGACAGTGGTTTACTCTGTCTTGAGAGTTTCGTTATAGTCAAAATTCAAGACGTAAGTACAGGACTAGTTGTCATGTGTGTTTTGTTTGCTTTAGGTCTTACAAATGCCAAGAAAAGATCGTAGTTGTTCATGGAGCGGTCGGCCGTTGTGGATGGAAGTCGCCGAAGCGACCAGAGTCAAAGTTCGTGTGTCATTTGAGTTTTTTATTTCACTTTGTTAAGCTATTGTTGTCAAAGTAGGTCTGCTTAAGACGTTAAGACTTTTTTGTGACCTTTAAATTAACGATTGTATAACTGAAGGTCTTCCTTTTTTAAATAACTTGATCACTTGTATTTTTTGTTCTGATGTTGCTTGTGAGAACCTTTAAGAACGAAAAAAAAGAGGACTTTTATTGATTATTGGTGTTCTTTTAGGTACCACACACATTCCAAGTGCACAGCTATAAACGACCAACCGTATGCCAGTACTGTAAGAAACTTCTTAAAGGAATTATAAGACAAGGTATACAGTGTAGAGGTTCGTTATATCAATGCGTTTTTATTCATTCTATCAACATCTAAGTATTTCCTAATTCCTTGTTTATTTTTTGTTATTTATTTATGTTCAGTGTCATTATTCTCCCATTTTTCATCGACACAGAAGTTACATTCCTTTCAAATCATCCAATTTCATAATGGTTTACCAACTTGATAAAAACTATTGTAACACTTTCTGATGGGCGCATGTGGCGCAGTGGTCGGAGACGCTCTGCAACACACATGTGGAATCGGTCCTCACACCCATGGTCCACCAAGGCTTCCATCCCTCCGGGGTCGGCAAATCGGTACCAGACCTGTTTGGGAGGATAGCAGCACTGGTTCGATACATCGGTAGGCCATGGCGAGTCATTATAAATGTCAGATACGCATTCAGTCACCTCCATCGATGCTTAACGAAGTCGATTGCATGTCACATACCTCAGTGATTGTTCAACGCCGAGAACTTTATCCTTTTATTATTCAACACTTTCTGAAATCATATCTGGAAGTCCACAGGTAATGCTTGGAGAATTTTTGGTTTAGAGTAAAAAGAATAAAGGATAAAAAATTCGATATTGATAAATTCCTATGTGATGTGCCATACACTATTAGTCAGTGCCGCAATATTCTCAGACAAGTCTCGTACCAGACTACCACATCGGGAAGGATGGAGGGCTTTGTGAGTCATAAGTGCGAGATCGAACCAATGACCACGTTGCGTTTTGCAGTCTCCTCTAACTACTGTGTTACACGATATTTTGCTATAGCACTAAATTTATTAAGTCAGACAAAAGTTCTTCAGAATGCTCGTTTATTTATGCAAAATCCACGCTTGAGCTTATTTCAGATTGTAAATATAACTGCCATAAGAAGTGCAGCGGATTTGTAGCGAAGGATTGTCTCGGCAGTGCAACATCAAATCACTTATGTCTTGGTACTTCCGATGATGGTACGTCTTATCGAGATACAGAGCTTTTCACGTTATTATGTTCCTTCTTAAGTCTTTCCTCTGATAATTATTAGTATATTTCCTTCTCAGGAGTTCTTGCAATTTTCGTTTTTCTTCAAGCCTTTAGCGCTTGATTTCAGCGCATTGCTTCATATCCTAGCAGTTTGGGTCAATTCCCTTCGCCCTCTAGACTTTCTGTATTCATGCTACAGCCTTTTATTAAGAAATGATTGTTTCAAGATTTCGATATTATTCCGTTAAACAGCTAAAATTCGATTAGAGTGATTCTCTCTAGAAATGTACTATTTGTAAAAGCAGAGAGAATATGTATTGGTTTTGTTCACTTCCTTCAATTTAGAGTGATTCTAGCTTTCCGATTACCATCATTCGACTCCTTTGACAAATTCGCGACGACGAGTCGTATGTGACTCATATGTGCTGAAAATTATTCACCCTTTGGACTTTAACTAATCATATCTCGACGTATCACCTGTATCATCTGCGTCACATGTAGTCCTGTTGATCGTCGAGTTACTCGAGCGGGCGCCAGTGAATCTTTCATTTTTCCCTGTCGTGTGCAAGAGTAGCCCAGTGGGTTTTGCTCGCTCTAGAGACTGGTCGAGCATCATATCTTTCTTCAAGACTCTTTGTGAGGAACTCTGACCATCGGGTCGGTGGTCTTTATGCAGTACGTTTGACATCCGGAGGAATCCAGTCACTAACGGTTCTTGTCCATCGGTTGTCATTCATATGCATTACGTGTCCGGCACACCTTATCTTCGACTGTTTGGCTAAAGAACGACATCTTTGATTTTTGATCGTTGACGCAGATCGGAGCTTCGGATCCTATCTCTTATTTGTGTGGAATGGGATACTCCTAGCATCGTCCTCTCGATTGCGCGTTCGCTAACGCTGAGTGACCCATCATCCTGCTTGCGCAGCGACCAGGTTTCCGATGCATACGTTAGAGTAGAAAGTACCATTGAGTCGAAAGAGTGGGCACGGAGTCGGGTTTTCTTTGTTCTCTTCCTCGATGCTCTTGAAAGTTCCCCAAGCTACTCGTTTTCTTCTGCTCAACTTTGGAGCTAGATCGTTCATCATTTTGATTTCCCGACCCAGATAGATGTAACTGGAGCATTAGGAAATATTCGTTCCGTTGACCGTGAATGGGCATATGAAACCAATCCGTTCCTCATGAACATCGTTTCTGTGAGATTTAGTCGAAGACGAATCTTTCCACAACCTTTATCAAAGTCTTGAAGCATACGTTCCGCTTGGCTAATGTTTGGTGTTATAAGGACGATGTCATCAGCAAAGCGAAGATGGTGTAACTGCCGACCGTTGATTTTCAATCCCACATTATCCCGTTCCAATGTTCGCATGACGTTCTGGAGGGTGGTGGTAAATAATTTTGGCGAGATGGTATCGCCTTGCCTAACTTCTCTTTTGACGTCAGTGCTAATATCGTTGTAGAATGGTGGTACCTTGGTTGTGAAATTTTTGTACAGCTCACGAAGAATCTTTATGTGCTGAATAAGGACTCCTTGACTACCAAGGGCTTCCAAGAGTGCTTCTATTTTAATTGAATCAAAGGCCTTCTGTAAATCGATGAAAGTGAGACATAGCGGGCTTTTTTACTATCGCGATACTTCAATGAGCCTTGTTACCGTGTGGATATGATCCATCGTACTAAATCCTTCTCGAAACCCTGCTTGCTCACATGGATGTCCTTCGTCTAAGTGTTCTGTCAATTCTGTTTAGGATTACTCGAGCGAAGTTTGTAGTCGGCAGACAGCAAGCAAATTGGGCGACAGTTGCCAATATCGTGTACGTCTTGAACAATAAAACGGTCTTGCTGTTCTTCCACTGAGTGGGAACCTTGCATTCGGACAGGTAACGTATGAAGAGCCGAACCAGTGTGTTCGCGAGGACTGGCGGAAGGTTTTTCAGGTCTTCTGATCTTATCCTGTTCGGACCTGGCGCTGTTCGATTTTTCACCGACGAAATGACTTGTCGGAATTCGGAATGGGGAACCAGTGGTATAACATATCCACACTCCTTTATTTCATATGACAGAAGGTGGACGTGGCTATCGAAGAGACGCTTTAAGATCTTTTATCGTCTGTCAGCATTGTTTGTGTGTTCGGACGTTAGTTCGCAGTTGCCTGCATCTCGTGCGATTCCACGCTGGCGTATCTTCTCGAGGAGACAAACGTCGCTTGGTGTCTTTAGAACTCTCAGCTTTCATAGCGCTAACGTGAAGATGTTGAATGAGCCGACGGTATTCTTCATCGATGTTATCGAGAACGGTATCCTCCCAACAGCCGACTAATGAAATGAATAAGTCCCAGTTTATGGTGGTTCTGAGACTTCGGTTTTTGAATTTAGCGGTTTTTTCTCCTTCCTGCGAGAAATAGAATCTTGCACGAAGGAGACAGTGATCTGATCTCGTGTAGAATTTTGGGACAACAGCGACATCGGTTAGGCAAAACCTTCTATTTACTGTGATGTAGTCTATTTCGTTATGGTACTCTCCATTGGGAGACTCCCACGTCCAGCGTTGAGGGTGGGGCTTCTGGAATTACGAGTTACCATGGATGGTCTTCGTCGTCATGATAAACTCAGACACCCGCTCACCCTGTTTATTTCCTTCTAATCCGTGGGTCCCAATGTGACATTCTTCAGAGGTTCTTCTTTGCTCAATCTTGGCATTGAAATCTCCATCGATGACCTTGAAGAATGTATGGTCTTCTCTGTAGAACTTCTCCGAGTCCTCATAGAAAGCTTCGACTTCTTCTTCGTCATAGTTTGATGTCGGCGAGTAAACGACGAAGATTGTCGAAGACCGTATTGATCCACATCTTTTTAATCGTAAACGTCCGATTCGGGTTGTTAGTTGTTTGAATAAATCCATGTTCATGAACAAACTCGTGTTGACGAGAAAGCCGACGCCGCCGACTCCTCTACTGTCGTGCGTTCCGAGGAGCAGTTCTTCTCCCGTGTCATAGACGGAGTTGAATGGGTGGCATCATCTCTTCTCGGCCAGGCCGATGACGTCGTACCTTACCCTTCTTGTTTACATGAGCAAGTCTTCTATCGAGAACTCGGATGCAAGTGTACGTGCATTGTAGGTGCGAAACGTTACCACAGTTCTTCGAAATCCAGGCAGCTTCCATTGGCCCTAAGATTTTGGCCGCCTCTCCGTACTCATCCTACCCAACGATGCGAAATTAGATGGTTTTTGGGGGTCAGGGGAATGAGGCCCATTTTTTCACTGTGTTTAGTCTTTTGATACCCATGTATTGCTTGCTGGGCTCTGAATGTGGTGGCTGGGTATACTCACGGGTAGGTTGCTAGGCTCTCTCCCAGAGTGGATATGGAGCTTATTTGTTGGAGGCCACTCCTAACCGCCTCCTATATACTTCCCTGTCACTTGATTTCAGGTTTTTGGGCGAATTAACTCGTAGAATACAATCCGCATAAGCGAGAACATAAGCGATATGCATGAATACGCCTAGCAGATACAGAAAGTATGCGCCAAATCACCGCAGCTGAAACAGGGAGTCCATCCCTTGGATCCACCTGCATCTCAGGGAAGCAAAGGTTGATTTTGGTCCGCGATTAACCCACTATCTGCCACCTGGGGTCATGCCACGTAGCCTCGCAACTAACCGGCTCGGGATCCCTCATATGAGGGAAATCCGTGGCTCTCAACATATAGTGAACCTTATTTATCAAAATAGAAGCCATTAAGATCTACATATTTTATGTGGAATTCCTTTCTGGTTTTTGGTGCCCAAAAATGGTTTTTTTGTTTTGTGTTCTTTTCGGCGGAACGTCTCCCAGGAGGGGTGTTGTTTCCTGAAGTCATAGTTGAGCCGTGGAGAAATTACGCTTAGGCTGCAAACTCTTCCAGAAATTATGTATCCTTCTAGTGATATGAAGGGTGCGTGTGGTGCAATGGTCGGAGGCACCCTACAACACACAAGTGGAATCGATCTCCGTGCCCATGGCCCACCGAGCCTCCCATCCCTCCGGGCTTGGCAAATTGTTGCCAGAATTGTCTGGGAGGATAGCAGCAGTGACTCGTTAC